GAGAGAGAGAGAGAGAGAGAGAGAGAGAGAGAGAGAGAGAGAGAGAGAGAGAGAGAGAGAGCAGCGAGCATCTTATCGACGGCTTCGTTTATGTGTGTGTGCGTGCGGTCGTTTTTTCTTGTGTGCTCACAGGACAAAGACCAGGGTTGGACTTGAGGCGTTGGCAGTCGAACTCTGCTGCTGCTGCTGCTCGTATGGTAAGAAGAGCAGAAGGCGACAGGGAGGAGAGGAGCAGGGGCTGTGTTTTGCCTCGGCGGCTGAGTAGTGAGATCCCTCAGTGAGCGTTTGTTTATCGTTGCGTGGAAAGCAATTGGGGGAAATTCTGATTGGCGGGCGGTTCTAGACCCCACTTGAATGCAACCCAACGAATGACCATTGCAGAGGACGAGGAAGAGAAGATTGGAATCGTCGTTTCTTCTTCGTTCGGGCAGTGTGGCAAATATAATAGTTGATACAAAACGTACACACGCGGACGTGGTAGGAAGAAAACCGGTCAAAAATGGTGCAGTACAATTTCAAACGGATCACGGTGGTCCCCACCGCGAAGGATTTCGTGGACATCGTGCTGTCGCGCACGCAGCGGCAGACTCCCACGGTCATCCATAAGCAGTACGCGATCAGCAGGATCCGGCAGTTCTACATGCGGAAGGTAAAATTCACGCAGACGAACTACAACGAGAAGCTGACGACGATTCTCGAAGATTTCCCGCGGGTGGAGGACGTGCACCCTTTCTACGGAGATCTGCTGAACGTGCTGTACGACAAGGACCACTACAAGCTGGCCTTGGGGCAGCTGAACACGGCGCGCAACCTAATCGACAAGCTGGCCAAGGAGTACGTGAGGCTGCTTAAGTATGGCGATACGCTGTACCGGTGCAAGCAATTGAAGAGGGCGGCGCTGGGGCGCATGTGCACGTTGATGTTGAAGCAGGGTCCCAGCTTGGCCTACCTGGAGCAGGTGAGACAGCACATGTCCCGGCTTCCGTCCATCGACCCCAACACGCGCACCATCCTCGTCTGCGGATATCCGAACGTAGGGAAGAGCAGCTTCATGAACAAGGTGACGCGGGCGGACGTGGAGGTGCAGCCTTACGCGTTCACGACGAAGTCGCTGTTCGTGGGTCACACGGATTACAAGTACCTTCGGTGGCAGGTGATCGACACTCCGGGGATTCTGGACCATCCGTTGGAGGATCGGAACACGATCGAGATGCTGAGCATCACGGCGATGGCGCATCTGAGGGCGGCGGTGTTGTTCGTCGTGGATCTGTCGGGATCGTGCGGCTACACCATCGCGCAGCAGGCGGCGCTTTTCGACAGCATCAAGCCGTTGTTCTCGAACAAGCCGTTGATCGTGGCGTGCAACAAGGTGGATTTGGCGCCTCTGGAGTCTCTGGCGGCGGAGGACCGGGCGCTGCTGGAGGAGATGGGGCGCGAGGCGGCGAAGTGCGGCGCGATGGCGATGGGACTGCTGGGCGGCGGCGGCGGCGACGACAGCGCGACGGTCGCACAGCGCGCGCAGGACTCGCTGATGACCATGAGCACGTTGACCGAGGAAGGCGTCGTCGCCGTGAAGAACACGGCGTGCGAGCTGCTGCTCCAGGCGCGCGTCGAGACCAAGATGAAGGGCAAGAAGATTAGCGACGTGCTCAATCGCATCCACGTGGCGATGCCGCGCGCGAGGGACACCAAGGAGAGACCCCCATGCATCCCCGACGCGGTGTTGGAGGCGCGTGCCAACAAGGGCGCCGCCGCGAAGCTCGGCGACGGCAGGAAGACGGAGAAGGACCTTGAGAACGAGAACGGCGGCGCGGGAGTCTACTCCGCTAATCTGCACAAGCATTATCTGCTCGGCGACGATTCTTGGAAAGATGACGTCATCCCGGAAATTGTCGATGGGCACAACGTGGCCGACTTCGTCGATCCCGACATCATGCTGCGTCTAGAGGAGTTGGAGAGGGAGGAGGAGGCAAGGGAGGGCGAAGAGGAGGACGATGACGTCAACAGCATGAGCGATGACGTGGAGGACCTCACTCCCGAGGAGCAGCAGGCGCTTGCGGCCATCCGCAAAAAGAAGGCGGAGATGGTCCAGGTTCATCGGCGCAAAAAGTCGCTCGCGGACAACAACCCCGTGCTGCCGCGCAAGTTCGACCGCGAGGGGAAGTTCACCGTCGACCGCATGCAGAAACACTTGACGGAGATGGGAATCGATCCCTCGGCGGCGGTTGCGCGCGCGCGCAGCAGATCGGTTTCGCGGCGCGGCAGAAAGAGAGACCGCTCCCAAGCGCCGATGGATGTCGACAGCGGCGACGACGGAGAAAACGGCGGCGCCGGCGACGCGATGGAGGTAGATGGGGGCCACGCCAAGAAGAGGCGGAAGCTCAGGTCCGTGTCGAGATCCAGAGGGCCTCTCGAAATCAAGGCACTCCCAGGGGATGGCTTCAAGGACACCCCGCAGAAAATCAAGGCCTTCAAATTGGAGCGCAAAGCACAGAAGAAGAGAAACAAGGATGCCAGGATTGGCGAGGGAGACAGAAGGATTTTCGACCTCAGGCCTAAGCATCTGCTTTCAGGAAAGAGATCGACAGGAAAGACGGACAGACGATGATGACCTGCTCAAGAGAATGGGATTTGTGCCGCCATTAGCTTTTTTTCCCTTTTCTTCTTCTTCTTCTTCTTCTTCTTCTTCTTCTTCTTCTTCTTCGTTCCTAGTACTTGTCTTCCTTCTGTGAACCCTAACGCGGCGGGGCATTTGTTCGACTATAGCGTTAGGGATTTGTTGTTGTCGTCGTCAATCACTCGTCCATTCACTTCACAGCATTGGCCAAGGACGGATGCTGTCTGCGGGTTTCGTTAGAAACGAGTTCGACATCTTTTTTTTTTTCTTTTTTTTTTTCAATTCGACAGCGAATCAGTTATCTTTCCCTCTTGGTGCGAAAGCTGTACGCGTTCCTTCTTCCTTTCCGACTCGTTTGGCCGACTTCTCCATCCCCCCCCGCTACTCTCTTATACACATCTAGATGTGTATAAGAGACAGGAGAGAGAGAGAGAGAGAGAGAGAGAGAGAGAGAGAGAGAGAGAGTCATTCCCCCATCCCTCGCCGCCGGTTTAGCCTATCACCTTTCATGTCCATCCGCACTCAATTGCCGCCGGTATCGAGTACTTCTCGCCAGATCTGCGTATCCTCTTTGTAGAGGCGGATCACGGAGGGCATGCTCTCGCACTACGACCTTTCTGACTGAATCTGTCTGTAATCGGGGTGAGATACGTCCAGGAAAGTTTTAGTGCGAGGATGCTCGTAGTCCGCACTTACGCCTGCCCTGTCCAATAGCTCTTCTGTTGTTCTCCTCTACCCGTGTCTTATCCTTCCCCGCTTTTCTCTTTTTTTCTCTATCTCTTTCCATCGATTCTTACTCTGTTCCTGCTTTCTCTCTCCCTCGTCAATCGGTTTGCTTTCGGTTACTTTTTTCTCTCTGCTTTTGTCTTCTTCCTTTCTCGTCGTTCTTGCGTCTGGCTTCGTACCTGCGATTTTTATTGCTTGCTGTTCTCTTCGTCTCTCTTCTCCCTCTCTTTCCTGTCTCTCTTCTCTCTGGCCTCTCACCTTTCGCTGTCTTCTTCGGCCCATCCACCTACCGTCCTCTTCCTATTTCTCTCATTCCTCTTTCTTCTTCCCCTGTTTTTCATCTCTGTTTGCCTCTGAACGGCGTATCGCTTCCTTATGCTTAGTTCGGCCGCGTTCTCTTCGCTCTTTTTGCCCCTGGCGCCTTCTTCTCTTTCTCCATCCCTCCTCTTCTCTCTCCTCTCTCCCGCTGCCCTTCTCGCTCTCTTTTCTCTCCTCTTTCTGCCCTTCCCTGTCCTCGCTCCTCGCCGTCATCTCTTCGCTGATTTCGCTTCTGCCGCCTTTCTCTCTCCCTCTGTCCCTCCTCTCCTCTCCTCTCCCGGCCCTCTTCTCGTTCTCTCCTCTCGGTTGAAACCTTGTCCTTTACCTCCTTTCTCCTTCTCGTCGCCGTGATTCCTCCTTCCCCTTTCGTGTTCATCGACGTCTTCTCCCATCCCTATCCACTCACCACCCTTTCCTATTCTTTTGCCCAAGTCCTCTCCCACCTGTTATCCGCCCATTTCTCTGTTCCTCTCCTTTCCGTCTGAGATTTTTCTCCTCCTCGCATCGCTCATTTTGCGTTACTTCCGCTTTTCAGCGCCCCTTCGTACCGTCCTTTTCCCTCTCTCCCTCTCTCTTTTTTTCTTCGTCTTTCTTCGATTTGTTCGGTCTCTGTGCTTCAATCAGGTGTGAACGTGCTGATGGGAAAGATGAAGATGGGAGGGGGGAGAGGGGGAAAAAAGGCGGCTACCTCTGTCACTGCAGCCTCGAGTTGGAGGTGTGTCTTAAGGATTACGCCGGTCGTGTTTCGTCCCCGTCTCCTTGCACTCTCCTTCCTCTTCCCCTTTTCTCTCCTTCCTCCTCTCCTCTCCCTCTCGCACGAACCGCGGGATGGCACGTTTAGGGTATCCCTAAACGTCACCAGAGACGCCCGCCGAGGTGGTGCCCGACGTGTACCACAGACACACACACAGACACAGAGAGAGAGAGAGAGAGAAACGCCGGCCGAGCTGTAGTAGGGGGGCTACGACACGGTGTGTGTGTGTGTGTGTGTGTGTG